GGGGGGGTCAGTGCCTGTCAGCACAGAAAATCTCAAATTTCCAGGGATCCAGGATTACAAACACAAAATTTGGGATTTTTTTTACCCCCCACCCCCACGGAACAAGAGGTCGGTTGGGAAGGAGCAGGAGTAAAGCAGGAGCAGGACAGGAGTAGGGAAGGAGTAAGGCAGGAGTAAGGCAGGAACAGGGAAGGAGTAGGGCAGGAGCAAAGCAGGATTAAGGCAGGAGCAGGAGAGGAATGGGGCGTGAGCAGGGCAGGAGTAAAGAAGGAGTAGGGTAGGATTAAGGCAGGAGTAAAGCAGGATTAAGGCAGCAGCAGGGCAGGAGTAAAACAGGAGTAGGGTAGGACTAAAGCAGGAATAAGGCAGGAGTAAAACAGGAGCAGGGCAGGAGTAAAACAGGAGCAGGGTAGGACTAAAGCAGGAATAAGGCAGGAGTAAAACAGGAGCAGGGCAGGATTAAGAGAGGAGTAGGTCAGGAGTAAGGCAGAAGTAGGGCAGTAGTAAAGCAGTAGTAAATCAGTAGTAAGGCAGTAGTAAAGCGGTAGAAAAAGCACTAGTAAAGCAGAGTAAGGCAGTAGTACAGCAGTAGTACGGCAGTAGTAAAGCAGTAGCAAGGCAGTAGTAAGGCAGTAATAAATCAGCAGTAAATCAATAGTAAATCAATAGTAAATCAATAGTAAATCAGCAGTAAATCAATAGTAAATCAGCAGTCAATCAGCAGTAAATCAATAGTAAATCAATAGTAAATCAGCAGTCAATCAATAGTAAATCAGCAGTAAATCAGTAGTAAATCAGCAGTAAATCAATAGTAAATCAGCAGTCAATCAATAGTAAATCAGTAGTAAATCAGCAGTCAATCAATAGTAAATCAGCAGTCAATCAATAGTAAATCAGCAGTAAATCAGCAGTAAATCAGTAGTAAATCAGTAGTAAATCAGCAGTAAATCAATAGTAAATCAATAGTAAATCAGTAGTAAATCAGCAGTCAATCAGCAGTAAATCAATAGTAAATCAGCAGTCAATCAGTAGTAAATCAGTAGTAAATCAGCAGTAATTCAGTAGTAAATCAGCAGTCAATCAGTAGTATATCAGCAGTAAATCAGCAGTCAATCAATAGTAAATCAGTAGTAAATCAGTAGTAAATCAATAGTAAATCAGCAGTATATCAGCAGTCAATCAGCAGTCAATCCATAGTAAATCAGCAGTAATTCAATAGTAAATCAGCAGTAATTCAGTAGTAATTCAGTAGTAAGGCAGTAGTAAATCAGCAGTCAATCCGCAGTAAGGCAGCAGTAAATCAATAGTAAATCAATAGTAAATCAGTAGTAAATCAGTAGTAAATCAGCAGTCAATCCGCAGTAAGGCAGCAGCCGCCCCCCAGCGCTCTCACCGTGTGGCCGCTGTCGCCGCGGCGGTGGCAGCCCGCCAGGTGACACTCCTCGCCCGTGGCGCATCTCTTGGTGACCCAGGTGCTGTCCCCGCGCGCCGTGAACAGGTGAGCAGCCAGGCAGTACCGCGTGCCTGCGCGACACACAGCGCGCCCGTCAGGGACCGCATTCCCGAAAAATCGGCGGCTCCGGCAACGCTCAGCAAGGCGTTCATCAGAGCAAATATTTTAATTAGTCATTAGCGCCACATCTCGGCTCTTTTTAGCAGCGTGAGGTTTTTGATTTGTTCTCTCATTTCTTTGCTTCTCTTTTTCCCCCCCCCC